GGACTAGAGAAGTAGATCTACATGGTTCAAGGAAGAATGTAAAATACCAGAATAACTTAATTTGATCTTTTCCCTCGAAGCTTTAGAAACATAGTTTAAACACTTCCGGTTCGTTTTGCCTTGATGACGATAATAAAACCACTAAATTTTCCGGTGAAGGAAGTGGTTCGCGTGCTTTTATTCCGTACGTAAAACCTTTAGTTAGACTTTTTAAACATTGCTGTATATGTCCACATGTGGTCACGCGTTTAACAGTTTAAATGACGGTATACAATGCAGTTGAGAAAATAATATGACAAAACATTAACAGCCCCGAAAGCATCATCACGTCCATAGTTATCTAATGATCGACAATGGTCTCCTCTAAACATAATGGTTCCAGATTCCGTGCAAAGTAGAAATCTGCTTGACGTCTTAATGTCGGATAAATTTGACATCTCTTCAAAGTTACATTTATCATTTAACAGGTCAAATGCCAAGCATTAGCGATTAAGGGTCATGTTTGCCTACCTTTAAGCATACACACTTGAATCTATTGTCAAAACTGCTTCGGTCAGGCCGTCATTTCTTATCACTAAACTAAAACCTTCCAGAACCCAAATCCCATAAGCTTCCATGTCAAAACCCTGTATCGGGGCAAAACGTGACACTGTCGGCAAGAAACGTCCACACATTTTCATTTAAACAAAACCCAAACAATCGAACAAAATGCTGATGTTCCGATGTCTCACTAACGACCTATTCAAATAAAGAATGCTTTCCTATTTTCTGTAGGGACTTAAAGCTTCTCCGAGTCTACATAAAACAGCCAAACCCCCATTTCGTATTCCTTGGATTACCGGCACAGAAAACGTCAAAACCACATGTGTGATCGATTAAAATGTTAAAAAAAAAAATTAACAAAATCGAGGCACAAAGATCTGTTCACTTAACCTACAAGAAATAAATTCCAAACGCAGTCTCATCACAACAAAGCCGACAGGTTCAGTTAAAAGAAAATATGGACCTTCATTAAACATCAGATAGCCAACTAAAGTGACCTAGTTCTCTTAAGAAATACTAATACTAAATGATCAATTCCAATCCGTCTTCAGTAAATCAAACCCAATAACAGCAGAAATTTTAAAAACGATCTCAGCATACCAAACAATATCTATTTTATTGTTAATGGTTTAGTGTACAAGAGACTATAATCAAACCTAAACCCGATAGGAGATTCTGATGATAATTACACAGCAACGGAAACGAGATGGCGGCCTAGCAGCACCCCAACCAAATGCGCCCTAGTAGCATTATCACCATTGGAGTGTGTGACGTCATTATTTTACCAGTTCTGTATCTAAGATGGCAGGCTATTTTAACTGACGGGTTGATTTTAACGACGTCATTTGATGTTTGTGGCTTTGTAATTCACCCTTCCACGTCGTTGCTAGCAACGCGGTTTCTATACACATCTAGCCAATCAGAGCGCGAGTTTGATTGTCGTCCATTTCCTCCGACAACCTTTCGGACTGATACATTGAGCAGTAATAACTGACAATGGAGCGATTGCCGATACCCAGAATTTTTAGAGAACGGTGAGGTTTTTCTGGCTTTCCCAAACATCCTCTACGCCCGACTTAAGGATACCAAGTGATTTATGAAAATCAACTTCTGGCAATGATTATATATATTCCAGTCAAATACCATCAGCAATTAATTTTGAAACACAACAATCATATGCAGCTTTTATCATCGTGCAGTAAATCTAAATTTATTACATTGTAAAGCTCGCAATATCTACATGCATGTCACTGGCTTAGATTTAAAGCAATGTTTATAAAAAAAAAAGCCACCGACTTCGATATGTTGTTATACATTATATATATGATATAGATAAACATGCATTTAAATTTGTTGTAGACAGCATTTCATAAACCAGTCAGCGGGATATTCTGATCCTTTGTCAGCAGATGGTGGAGCAACACAAAATGTCGTCTATACCAGAGAAATCGATATTCTGACGGGTGAGTTCATTAAAGGCTGGTCAGGTGGTATCTAATCATTTCAATTTTAGTCCTGAATTGATACCCATTGATTTTTTTATCACCTTCACATTTCAATTTATAAAGTGGGCTTCTTTTTATACTTCTTTGTATATTCATTACAAAATATTTTACAAGTAAAGAAGTTGCGTTTCTTTATCCTTTCAGTAAATCTAATCTACATCTTGACAGTTAGTAGTTCTCTGGGTTGTGGAAGTCACAATGAGAATCACCTTTATAAGAGGGAACAAACAGTGAAGATAATGTGCTACTTATCTATCATATATTGGAAATAGTCTAGTCTACACTTCCCGCACCTATATCTCAAGGGAAGCCAGCCAGTATTATGGCCACAAGAGGTCTAGTGGCTTCTAACTGGACTCTTTCCAGGGCATTTGACGGTTCAAAAATCAGAACAACCATCCAAGATACAGGAGACATATCCCAGAGTTCAGAGTTGGTCTTATAAAAGACGTGTATATAACATTAAGGGTCTCTTTGCTAACTTTTTATTTTAATTCTTTAAAGCAGTTACTTTATATGAAATACTGAAATTTTGTGTTTCATAGGCCACAGAGAGGAAGTCTAGCTATCGACCGAGACAACAAAATTATATCATGGATACAAGTTTAGAGCCCTTCAGTCTAGATTAGCATGATAACACGCTCCTGCGACACGTACACATCCCCGATACATGGAACCATTTCTTATAATCAATATACAGTGCTGATTAAATCAGGGTCAAAAACAAGCAACGTTATTTCTCTTATCTCTATTTTTCATGCAGAAACAAACTGGAAACACGGATATTTTCTTTTTTTATTCTTATATATGTATATTAACGTTAAACAAGTCCAGGGTTGAATTACGGTTCAAACTTCGGATAAGAAAGTAAACTCAGAAGCGTCTGATAAATGTTGATAAAAGGACACAAGTCGTAAAATTTCCGCTGACTTCAAATTGTTGCTGCCCAAGAATGACCCTAAGTATAATAAAAGCGGGCACAGCGAGAGCTTTATGATATTGTGCGTGATAATTCAACTTCAACAAATTGCCCAAGCGATCAACGTTTAACGGAAGTGTGGCCGGAACTTTATTACCCACAATACACTTACCGCAGCACGCAATGAGAACTGCCGACCAGTTAAATGGATTAATATGAATTTGATCGATGAAATATCTTTTTAAGCTTTCGTGTGGAAATGAAATTTGAAGTCTTAAATAATTCAAATGAATTTAAAAATATATATGTTAATGGCTTTAAACACATATAGCAAATATTCCGTGGAAAATTCAATTTTAATCATTCAAAATTAGGGCATGTTTTTTCTCCGATGTACCTGATTTCCAGTTTAAGCTTCACGAATTTTCGTCACTTTCCGTGAACGAAAAACGCATCATCTCTAACACGGAGACAGCGAATGGTTCCGATTTTGCGCAAAATCTGTCCCGGCTCCTAACTATAGTAAAACTGCAAGATGTGGATGTTCTGTCGATAACTGTCTGAAATGAATTATGATCAAGTATTTGAATGCCGAGAAATTTTCCAGCGAATACTTATAAGGCACGATGATATAATAACTGTTAGTGGTGAGTTTTTTTGTTTTTTTTTTACTTCAGAAAAAGACAGTTTATGTAATATTTACAACTTTAATAAGACATTTTCATGACAAATTTATAGATATATATATTAGTCAAAAAGTCAAAAAGTGCAAAATGTAACGTCTTTCTTCTTTTGTCAAAAATCATTTTTATTTATATATATATTGATTTTCTTAAATGCAATGTATAACAAAATAGTCCCAGCAGTGTTTACAACTTTACCTTCTTTTTCTACCAAGACAGTCAACATTGTTTAAAAGCTGAAGTTTATAAAATATGTTTTGATTTGTTAAACAGAGCGAAAACTTTCGGTAGCAAAGAGAAACGAAAATGGTGGGTGAGAACAACCTGATTTTGATAATGAAAATTGGTCAAACAAATAAGCACCGCCTTTACAAATTCGACTTAAACTCTAATGTCTTTCACCATATTTTGACTACAAACTCATTTCTTTTTAAAGCAAAGATAACAGATCGCCCTCTCTCTAATCTGTTTATAAATCTGACAGGGAAATACTTGTACATTTATTTTTATTTTTTTTAATCAATTTTTATACTCTAGATATATTGTCAAAGACTTTATTCATACATTTTTTGTTACCCTGGAAACACAAATATCACAAAGTTCAGTTTTATTAGACCAGCTCTCTTAACCCGTTACTCAAAATTTTGTACAGGCATCAAGCTAGTACTCTATTAGAAATTCTCCATTTCAATACTTTGTATGGAACAATTAAAAATAACAAATAGAAATTAAACTTGTTGTAATGTTAACATATATATGTGATTGTGTGTCTTTCTTTCAAACGGGGTAAGGGGTACATATTTCTTTACATATAGAAACTTTATTACTGCAACTTATAAAAATCACACTTGTAAGCATGCGAGGAGTCTAACTGTGGGAGGAAACCGGTACCCCTTCAGGAAATCAAACCCCGGACGGCTAATTGAAAGACTAGTATGTTACAACTGCGCCATCAAACCACCGCCTAATCATGAAGAAGAAGAAGAAGAAGAAGAAGAAAAAGAAGAAGAAGAAGAAGAAGAAGAAGAAGAAGAAGAAGAAGAAGATGATGATGATGATGATGATGATGATGATGATGATGATGATGAGATGATGATGATATACAGTGAAAGGCAGATAAAAATTGAATTATTATAACATACACTATAATTTATCAATATCATTTTCCTTACAAACCTCCACCCTAATTCTTTGAATCATTGAATACGTTTTAAAACTCCGTAGTATGACGGAAATATTGCGTTTACATGCTAGTGGTTTGTATTTTATCATTTGTGAACTGTGCTTCCTTGTCGAATGCGCCTATCATAGCATAAGTGGCGAGTATTTAACTTCCGGTAAAATTGAAATTCTGAATTTCGTATGACGCATCATTAGTGTGTTGAAATATGTGACAGAAGTAGACGATTTTTCAATGGCTTCTTTTAATACAACAGATACAGACGACGCATTCGACTATCTGTTCAAGATTGTGTTGATAGGAGATGCTGGTGTGGGTAAAACTTGCGTAGTCCAGAGATTTAAATCAGGCACTTATGTCGAAAAACATGGGAGCACCATTGGGGTTGATTTCACAATGAAAACAATGCAGATAGATGGCAAATTAGTAAAGGTAACTATTTTGTTTAAGTTTTTTACATGAATTATACTCGTTTACATAAAAAACTAAGATAGATGACTAAATATCGTGAAAATTGACCTGTCTAAAAATGCTGCCCGACAACGTGTCATCTAAGATAGACCTAATTGTGAAATATTACGACTGTGACGTGGATGATGTATATTATGTCTATACTAATAGGTTCATCAGTTTGTACAATGACTTGTAGGCCGTAGCCAGTGGCTACTATAATGTAGATATTTTATTTGTTAATCTTAGCTTGTGATAATATAGTAATATCACAGATCAAAGTCATGGTGACGGTTTGCTTGGAAGAAGACATTTAGCAAGACTCGTGCATATGATAATGAAAATGAAAATATTGTGTGAAAGATCATAAAGGTCAAAGTTTTATTATAATAACAAATTTTTAATTATTTGTCTCGCAGCAGATATTGGGGTATACTCAACAACGAATCATGACGTGTAGAATCTTCTATATATAGTAGGGAGAATTTGAACGTGTTGCCTATACTTATATTTTGATATATAAAGATAGATCATAACAAAGGTACCAAGATTTATATATGTATAAAAAACATTTTATAATGGTGTTTGCTTCTTATAAATGGCCTTCGGCATCCATTGGCCGAAGGGATTACCAAGAGTCTAAAAGTTTTACTACCATTCTTGATTACAGTTTATAAGTTTTCTGTGTGATGTAACTTATATAATATTTTGTGTCTTGATAAAGAGGCAAATTGCCTCTAAAATTTGGCAATTCACTTGTATGTTTTGTTATTATTACTCTATTGATCATATAATATATGTTTATGTATATACAATAGTATTTACATGATACATCATTGACTCTTGTCAACTACTTGTATGCAAATGCTTAAGCCACTGATTTATGTTGTATATTATAATTACTCATGAAAGAATTCTAGTCTTGAAATACTCATATTCAATGCATTTTGCTTGAGTGTGATTTAGTATTAAGCCTAACTGAAATCTGGCCTGACATTTATGAAATGGTTATAAGATAGACATTCTAAAATAAAAAACAAAATATTGTAGTGTTATTAAAGATAAGACTTTGTCAATCATGGATAAACAGTAATTTACATATTCAAATTAGTTGTAAATGTTTGGTGTTCTTCTTCAGAGGAATTTGATGAGGTACTTTTTGTCCTCTTTCTTCTTTTGCTGAAATGAAAATAGTAATTTTATTTGGTAAAATGTCCTCTTGATGTTGTGACAGAGTGTACATACCATGGTATTAAATGTTTCAGTTACAAATCTGGGATACAGCTGGCCAGGAACGATTCCGTACAATAACACAAAGCTACTACAGGAGTGCTAATGGTGTCATTTTAGCATATGACATTACTAAGAAGACATCATTTGAAAATATTTCACGCTGGATAGATGATGTTAAAAGATATGCTGGATCAAATATAGTGCAATGTCTAATAGGTAATATGAAAGTACTTTGTTTATACTATACTCTACTATGAACTAGCTGTAACAAACTTTTTTTTATAAAATTGATACACTTTGATGAATCTGTCATTGTCCTTATACATATTAATGTAACAGGAAAAAGTAATGAAAATCCCTGACCTGACTGGGTTTGAATTAGCATTCATTTGCTCTCTAGTCAGACACATTATACCCTTGACTGAAGGGAAATCTACCAGTTGAGGTTTACAAGGAGACATGTACTGTCAAGGCTTACACTTCTCTTTCCTTCACAAGCCCTGAAAACAGTCACAACCCAAGTTCAATATCTCCAAGTAAGCCTCTCAATCTCCTATAGCTTTTACATGGGGTGTAAACAGCGCCAAGTTTATAATAGGAGGGAGTAATGAAAAAATGTTCTGTCCATGCTGGGACGAGCAGCATTTTACTCTCAAACCAACAACATATTGTTTGATAAAAACGTCAATGTTATTAAGATGACCAACACCTTAAACTTCTACATATATGGAAGAAGTAACAATACACATGCTCTTTAGTTGTCATGTGAACTTTTGGAGATAGTTACCATAAATTGTTTTTGTACATTTAAATATCAACTTCATTTATTTTACAACAATAATTGTGAAACTAGTAATTTCAACTTGTAATAACTACTCTTGTTGGCCAAGATGGAAGTATCCATGTGGTTTTCCTACAGATGACCCCATACCTTTAAGAGGAAATCAAACCTGAGACATCTGGGTTCCTGGCAAATGCATTACCACAGCACAACCTGACCATCCTTGTATAAGATTGTCTTTTATTTTATGAAGCACAAGCTGAGATTTACAGCAAATGAATTATTTGTATTTGTATTTGTCTACATGAAGCAATTAAATAACAGACAAAAATATATAGTTTTAATAAAGTTGGTTTTATATTACTTTACATCTTATGAGATAGTCTCCCTTACAAATCTATGTGAGGAGCATGCTAATTACTACCTGTATTTCAAGAAAACCCTCTTATTCTGTCGAGGGCCACAGTTAGTTGCCTTCTACAATGATGTTATAGTGTACAGCAGACTTTATTCTTGAGCTCTGTCCCTGAAACAAAAGACATCAGAGAAACCACCTCAGACCAATAAGGGCCACAAGGACCACCCCCAACCCCACCCCATCCCACGTATGTAGTTATCCGTTAAAAGCTAAGATCCTACACAGGTTAGAAAAGGTAATTTTCATATGTTGAAATTAAGAAAATGATTACCATTGACTTCTTAATCCCTTCTAGTTTACTTTTATTGTAAAGGGCACCAATCATACCAATCATTAATCATTAGCAAGACATATACAATGTAAAAAACAAAGGTCACATTGACATTGGAGAAGAGATTCTTAGATGGAGATGCTGTTATTTGAAATCTGCTTCTGAATGAAATCATTGTTTCAAAAATATGAATGATTTGATTATTGTATGTTTTAGGTACTAAAAGTGACCTTGAACACCTGAGAGAGGTCAAGGTCGGAGAATCAAGGGCATATGCAGATCATCACAACATGATAGGCGTTGTAGAGACAAGTGCAAAAGAAAACACTAATGTAGAAGAAGTATTCATGAAGATGGCAAAGGTAAACCATTGTAGTACTTCTTAATACTATTTTATTGTAAGATATTACCAATATCAAGTATGATTTCTCATGTACTTAAGTCATATATAGGGAGATTATTTCTAATTTTATTTAAAAGAAACCTTCAAAAGATAATTAAAGCAAAAGGCCTGGTTTACTTATGATTACATGGCTCTGAGTGTGATGATCAATCAATATAACAAGAGAACAATCTTTGTCATACCTCTACAGTTCAATTATTTTGTTTTCTTGTGAAGAATGCTTTTATTTATATTTTGTTTGTGTTGAAAAGTTTATATAGTTATCTTGTTATATTAAGAAAACGACATACACTTAGGTCTACTATAAAATCTTGTATTAGTGTTTCATACCATATAAAATTTCTCTCGAAAAAAAAATGAAAAAGATCGTCAAAGTTGTCCATCAGTGGCTGTGTATTTATATTGAATCGCATTTGATGAATGCTTTTAATTATGAATTTTGTTTTGTGAGATAACCACTTACTGGTAATGTTGATTATTGTAACTACAGTCTTTAATTATGAATTTTGTTTTGTGAGATAACCACTTACTGGTAATGTTGATTATTGTAACTACAGTCTTTAATTATGAATTTTGTTTTGTGAGATAACCACTTACTGGTAATGTTGATTATTGTAACTACAGTCTTTAATTATGAATTTTGTTTTGTGAGATAACCACTTACTGGTAATGTTGATTATTGTAACTACAGTCTTTAATTATGAATTTTGTTTTGTGAGATAACCACTTACTGGTAATGTTGATTATTGTAACTACAGTCTTTAATTATGAATTTTGTTTTGTGAGATAACCACTTACTGGTAATGTTGATTATTGTAACTACAGTCTTTAATTATGAATTTTGTTTTGTGAGATAACCACTTACTGGTAATGTTGATTATTGTAACTACAGTCTTTAATTATGAATTTTGTTTTGTGAGATAACCACTTACTGGTAATGTTGATTATTGTAACTACAGTCTTTAATTATGAATTTTGTTTTGTGAGATAACCACTTACTGGTAATGTTGATTATTGTAACTACAGTCTTTAATTATGAATTTTGTTTTGTGAGATAACTTACTTGTAATGTTGATTATTGTAACTACAGTCTTTAATTATGAATTTTGTTTTGTGAGATAACCACTTACTGGTAATGTTGATTATTGTAACTACAGTCTTTAATTATGAATTTTGTTTTGTGAGATAACCACTTACTAGTAATGTTGATTATTGTAACTACAGTCTTTAAAACTTGTCATAACTTGTGGAACAGTCTGTATACTTTTGGTTTATAAGAGTGTGTTATTATACATTTCAGGAGTTAAAGAAAAGGTATGGAGGAGATCAAGCTTTTGACAATAATGATGACTCAGGCAGAGTGAATTTAAACACACGGACAGTCAGCTCTAGCTGGTCTTGTTGTGGAAGTTAAACAAGCCTATCTGTGAGGAAGCAGACAATTGAGAGGTGCTAAAATATCAACCAGTTGAAAAAGAGAGAAAAAAATGATTACAAGAAATACATCATGAAATAATTTGTTTTGAAACAATTGGAACGACAAATTATATATAATTTCAGGTCATAATTATTCCCTAGTTTAGTTGTTAGAACTAACTTGGATAATTATCAGTTCAGAGATTCAGGTATACTGTATCTAATTTAACAGATAAAATTCTTCTTCAGGTTCTTGACTGTTTTATGACTAGATGCTACAGTTTTGGAATCAACTTTAAATGATGTGTGAACAATGTCTGTGCAATATGTGGATGATTTCTATATGATGTACAGATTGTGTTTGGAGTATGAAAAGTAGAAAACTTTATGATTAAATGTCCATATATCAGACAATATAAACAAACTGTAGACTAAAGCAGCCATGATTGATCCATAATTAAAACAACAGTTCAATAATGATCTCACAATGCATTGTAACTACAAAGAGAAAGGAGGAAGAAATGAAACTTTTGATCTTTCAAGAAAAGGGTTGAATTATGTCAAGTTTTGAATTATGTCAAGTTTTAAGTTTTGAATTATGTCAAGTTTTGAATTATTGTATTTTGAATCTACAAACATAAGCAGCTTGCATTTGAAAGTTACAAGAGGCAAAACTTCTGACTGATAAAAGTGAAGTGTCAAATATCAGATGTCTGAAACAATATTTTCTCTACTGAATATCAGCTTAAGTGCAAGTTACAAGCACAGTTGTATTGCTTTCACTCACTGATTCCCGTATTTTGTCTATTCAGTAAAGTGATTGTGCAACCATTTATGATGATACAGATGTAATTGCACCTTACACATTTTGGGTCATACAATCACATGTTTCTGTTTTGTATTGCTTATTTTTGATGATGAAAATGATGTGCAGACAATTTTTTCTGTGAATTGTGTGATCCACAACTCAATATAGACACATGTCGGAACGATCTGCTCATTTTTCACACCTTGAGTGACTGTGACACCTTTAGCAGCGGAATTGATGGTGTACATGTATTGTATTGTTTCATGAGGAAGTTTCCTTAGTCGTCCTAATTTCCTTTTGACACATTTTATCTCTTTGTATGTTAATAGACATTTTTATAGCTTGTGGCACAAAGTGCTGGAATGAGTAGGCTTATCTAGTCCATGCTATTGTAGAGGATCAAATAAGATTGAAGGAAATTTCTCTCTCTAAATATTGACCAAGCAATTTTGTTTTTAGGTCAAATAAAAAGTATTAGATTCTGATTTAAGAGATGTTTGTAAGATTATCATATTTTGAGTGATTCAAGTCTTTAAAATTATAGCTTGATACTTCAAGCTTTTTGTATTACAGAGTTTTAATATAATTACTGTTGAAGGTTGCATATGACATGAAAAACATTTTTACCATGACATCTGTTGTAATTTGACAATTTGTTGATTTCTGTTCCTTAGCCTGCAAAATATTGTTTAGTAGGTTCGTGTGTTTCAGTGTATTCATTTTGCATTCAGGTGATATTAAATGTTACGCGCTAGTGAATGTTTGATCATTGTTACAAATTGTAAACAATTTTGTGTTTACTCTTTAGTTTTACAGTCAAGGACCTCTTCCTCAGCTTTGATGAAGTGATTTCATAGCAAAAATGTACTTCCGTTTATTACAAATGAATGTAAATTTTCAGATGTTTTCAGAATATTAGTTTATTTCCTTTTTACCCTAAATTCAGTGATTTTGGTTTCACTTTTCTATTATGTTTCTTTCTCTCTGGTGATATTTCTGATAAAATTGTGAAGCTTGAATTGAGAGTTTGACTAATATTTCCTATAATTATCATCTTCCTGTATACACTTGACATTCCAATGGAAATGCTCATAACTCCAATTGATTTACTCTATTGTAAATAGATTGTAAATTGCTTGGAAGATTTAAGATTTATTTACAAATTCTTAAGAATAATGTTTAATGCATATAATAATATTTAATAGGTAAGGTCAAAATGGAATCTTCGAAAAAGTTCAACTTTAAGGACTATAAAAACACATTGTTTATGTGCCCTTTGTGGCCTTGTCATTGCACAAATAGACAACGCCAAAATTACTGTTTCATCTTAAATCAGATAACTTGGTCAGACATTAAAAAAAATCTCAGATAAAATGTTGTTAGAATTTAGTTGAATTAAAGTTATAATCTGTATGTACTTATTATACAAGACAACAATATTGGAGAAAAAAAAATTATTATAAGTACAAAATGTCCTTGCTCTGGTGTTCATTTTTATTTTCAATTTGATACAAAAGCTTTGTTTACATTAGATCTAGTGGCAAAGTGTTTCTACCAAACCATGACACAATGTCAGCTATAGTACATAGAAATGTTTGCTTGCAATGTTTTCTTGTTTAATATCACATCAATACAGTAACAAAACAATTCAGTATGGAATTGTAAATTTGTAATAGATTTAAAGAAGATGAATCCTGTTTATTTGACAATATTTCTACCAAACGATGTTCATAGAAACAACACAAGAATTATGAACATATGATACATAGTCATATTGGTGATGGAAAAATTAAGTTAGATTAGCAGTTCTTTGGTCAATTTTATCCTACAATTGGTGCTGCCATTGCTACATATAATTTTGCTGTAATCTAGCATGTGCAATAATTTGATAGTATCATTTTCTAGTTATTGTAAATATTACATTTTAAAATCTAAACATTTTTTTTAAATAAGCGATTTTAGTTATTCCAATGAACAAGTTTATTTTTTAAATTTTAACATATTGCTGATACAATTTGAAACAGCCTTTCAAACAAAATCCGGCATAACATGAGCATCAGGTATAAAAAGATTGAACCACAAACTGTTGAGGATTTGATAGTGGAGAAGGGCAGTTCTGTGGTAATGTTTGGCTTAATTGATTTTTTTTTGTCAGGATAAAGTGCAAATAGACTGTTGATACATAAATGTTTGTCTTGATAAAGTGAGAATGGACACTTGACCAGTAAATGATTGTATTGATGAAGTGAGGATGGACACCTGACCAGTAAATGAATTAATGGTCATATTGACATTCTGTCATAGAGGATTTGGTATGGAGACATTGTATATTGTCATAGTATTTTATCATGAGGTGTCTGTTTTAGGGATGTTATAGTGATATTATACATAGTATATCATTGAGTGATTTGCATGTGATGACAGTATTCAGTTGTTCTGTAGGTTTACATGTTGTCATGACAGTAAATTATCTAAAATTATTTTTACATATCTATTACATGTATGGTGATGACATTATGTCCGGGTGTTTGACAAAGTCTTTATATCAAATTGACAACATAGATATCATAAGATGACGTTAGTATGAAAGTGTTATTACCTGTTATCTCACAAGGATTAAGTGACAAGGATTTTATCTACATAGTAGGTGTCATAGACAATAGGGATCTCTAACATATTGACAGTAAATAAAAGAAAGTTACATATTTATGTTACATTGACTGTTAAGTTTTATATTAACCTGAGAAATTGTATATAAATGCTTTCCGTAAGCCCTAAAGTTAAATGTACAGCGACTGTCACATATATTCAGCAAATAATCACTTGCTTGCTTGTGTTTTGCTAGCCAATGAATTGGTTTGATTTATATGGATTTGTTATTGTATAAAATGATACTTGTATTGAGGGATTGTAGGTCAGATTACTATTGGTAAGAGAAAATGGTACATTATTTGTTCTGTGCTGTTAAAATGTCTAGTTTTTTGGTTTGGACATTATAAAAAGCACATAACCTTAAACAGGAATACTGAATTGTCATGCTTATACACTATTACAAGGGCTCTGTATTAAACTTGTATTATACTGATGATGCACTGGGATAAAACAGGAATAGCCGGTGGTTTTACGTATCATGTAAGGGATAGGACACAAGGTACTAGGAATTGTATGCTATCTTGTATTATAATGATCATCCTTTTTCAGTAAGATCATTTCTTTTGTGGGGATTTTTGTTGATTTCTTGGGTACTCTATATCCACATAATTATATGTCCGCAATCTATCATAATCAGTTTTACATTTATACAGCTTCATTTATCCACGAAATCAAGTGTCCACGAAATAGTTGTTTTTAAAAGGAAGGAAAAAACAAAAATTGATTCTGCAATATTTCAAAGTTTAGATTGAATTTACTGATATGCTTTCTAGTAATTTTTTTTCTGTATGATTAAATCCTAGTTATGTATTACTTATTCAAAACACACAACTGCTTTTTAGAAACTTAGTTGGAAGCTGTGTATATTAAGTTGGCCTTAAATACCAATAGCAGAATATCACTGTAATGTTGTACCAGTTTTTACTTCCTTTGTTCTCTGGTCCTTCTATGATGATGAAGAAGATGCCAGGGACTATTGTTTATGTTATAGCTGTTGTCAGGACCTCATTTCATTTTGTACAAGTCTTACCTGATTATATATTTGTTGTTCTTTGTGATTGGCACTTGTCCTGGAGCAGAATTTAATGCTTTAATAATTAGTATCTGTATAGAGATTTTGTTTGAATGATTTCACTCAGCATTACATTATCCTGTTGTTTTACCTCTCTTGTCTGTCTTTTCTCTACAATCAGAAAACAAGGACAATTCACTGAAGTCTTGTTTTAAAACTCTGTTGTAAAAGGTCTGGAAATGATGACATGCATCAGATTGTTAGATTTTCCATGCTTTTGTTGGTTGTTGGCTCCTGTTCATGTTCAAAGTTATTGCTTTGATAATTTGATTTTAAGGGTTTTCAATGAAACTAAAGATAATAGCTCATTTTGTTGGCCAGTCTCTTTTGCATTAAGAAATTAGATTTTATTCAGGCAAAATTATGTTCTTGTGTTAAAGTCTCTATAACGTTTTTTTTTTTAACGTATAATTCTATTTTTTTATCATTAGTGACTTGTGTTATTAATCTTGGAGTACTCTGTAAAGGAAGGAATAATTTTTCTCCGTGAACACATGTACACTGATTCATCACAATAAATGATATGCTGTAAAAGTTATTATTGTTAAATATTTCTTTAACAATAATTGATTTCCAACAGTTACATATATGATTGTACAGAGGATAGAAGCTTATGTTAATTCTTTCCCATACTTTATACCTCTGCCTTTGTGTTTTTTTTATTTTATGACTCTCTGGCCTGGTTTAAACCATTTCATACCGACACAATATTTGGCTGAAAATAACAACTTCAAATTCATTTTATAATATTCATAGTATATATTCATCATATATATATGTACAATATCCTGTACTGTAAATTTTCTTACAGGTTTGTATCATGAAGTAATCAAAGCGAAGAAATAAATGAAATGAAATCAGTGTTTATGAGAGATTTTCCTGAAATTTCTGATTGTTAAAAGCTAGTTCCTGGTTATTGGGAGTAGTCTAGTGGTGTGAGAAACTTGATCATATTGTTTATTAAATCAGGGCTATGTTGTAATTATATGAAACATAGAAATGGTATGCATGTAGATGTTGTAAACAAACCCTTCCCAGCACGATTTCTGTTTCTTGTGATTTGATGTGTCATAGGATGGTCATGTTGTTGACTGTTGTTTATATTTGCAATCTATTAGGTATATATATGGTTATTTAAAACTACACTAAATACATGCATTTCCGCATAGCATGAAACCTAAACTTTGGACAAATGTCGGGGTCCTTTAAATGGATAATACTATGTAAATGTGAAGGTTTTCTTTATATCGATTGTTTTATGAATAGTGTACAATAAAAACAAGTGGAATCGTATCATTTGTAACTCGTTTTTCTGTGTTCAGGAATTTTTTTCACAACATGAATATTTGAGTTAGTTAATGATGCGACCGTTACGGGATCAGAAGCGTTCTTCCAGGTCCTCTGTCAACAAGTTGTCAACAAGTCGGCAGAGGAAAAGTCAAGACCTTATAATTATTTAGTTTCCCTATAATATTCCTGTGTTCATGTTTCGTGTTTCTTTCTTTGTGTCTCTTAATTCTATTCGTTCTACTGTTTGTAATTATATACCAATTAGTATTTGTTATATCACCATCATCATCATCATGAAGTATTCTCCCTGATTCTTGGTCCACTGTTCGACGCTGGTTGGTCATTCAAATCGCCATTTGTCCACAATCCATAATCCAAACCGAAGGCGGTCTTCATTATAAGCCACGAATCCCTCGAAAAGTAAGCCGGTCACAACCAAAGTAAATATCATTCTAACGAAAAATGCATTGATGTTGAAATGTTTAGTTTGTTGTGAAATGAAATATTGTTCTTTTCAATTTCTTTCCGTCTTTTTATTTTGATATAATTAAAATAACTTAGAGCAGTTCCATATTGCCAAGGATAGGACATTTATAATATAGCCACACGAGGTCGATAGTGTTGCCTTCTCGCTCCTCCACCAGGTGTAGACGTCGGGATCTTCAGATCTTAGTTCCTCTACAATAAAACCCTTTCGAAGCAAAAGTTTTGTGTTATTACATAAGTTTTCATTGGACAATTAGACTCAAACTTCATACAATGCTTTTTAACCAAAGGGGCTTGTTTGGGATTGATTTTCACGTGCGTTGTCCATGTTCTCTTCGTATTTGGAATAAAACAAGTTATATAAATGGAAATAATTATAATAAATATATATGTCTATTGTTCCATAAAATCCATCTCCAGAAACCTTGCTGGGCAGGCGACACATCCATTTCCGTGGAATTCTTGTTAATGAGGTTACAGCTAATCAGTAACGATAGAAAGGATGACATGAAATTGATTGAAATAACGACCAAATATAAAATCATGAATGAAAAATTAATGAACTTTTCTAATGAATCCTATTTTGAATATGGGTTATTTCTACTTGTCACCAACATCATAACAGGAACACAATTATTGACCCGGAAAAAAGTAACTTTGCCGCAATAAAGTACATACGATGTACATTTCTTTAAGGGAAGTTAATTTGGCGAAATATGTCTAAATGTCATTTAACGGAAAATGTCTTCCATATTTTCGGGTAAACGGAAATATTCTTTACTAATAAATTGGTCCTACTTTTTGTCTTCTTACATTTTTGGTCGGTAAATATTTTTTCTCGACAATGCCAGCAAACAGTATCTGCATATATACTTTAAACAAAAAATGGAAATTTCCTAAATCAACTGTATACACACAAAAATACAGCTCTATATTATATTACCATTTTCGTTTTCTTTGATCTTGGAGCTGGTGTGATCATTTTCATTCCATGAACATGTTGTATGCTAAATTGTTCTCATTGACAATGAGTCCGACATGAGAATCAATGTACACGTACAGTTAAGCTAAGCCAATGATGAACCAGAGCAGACTGAGATACGTCGTTAGTGCTTTTTATCTTTGGAAGGAGGAAGCTGTATAGAAGTTGAGTGTTAAGATCACCATGGTTACCGATCTGCGATGGTCGGATGGCATTTTGTAAACAACTCACCTTTTCCTTAAGGAAAGGTAAAGGTCACCTGCCCGACCACGTGGGTTTTTCTCCGGGTACTCCTATTTCCTCCAACAACAAGAGCAATCGTTTTGTGTTGTATTATACATATGTACATTGGTCTTGGTTAGGGGTAATTTTTCTCTGGCCTGGAGGTAAGATTGTCTGCCTCTCACAGCGGCTGGAAAATTTTCACAGTTTATGCCTAATGCATGATTTGTATCGTTAGCCACTATTATCGATCTGAACGAAGTGTCGACTATCAGCGGTCAGCGGAATTTCAGCGGTCACTAACATAAGCAAATCGTGTCATATCCGGGATAAGCGCTCGACTCGGTCGTGTTATATACACATTTGATAATATTTCAATAATGTTCATGGAACAACAACGTGCGGTATTCATCATTGAAATATACAAATCCAAATACGTTATTACGGATTAAAATATTACACTTATGTAAATTGGATTTATTTACAGCAAACACTGTTAAATTAAAAATATTTATGACCTTGTATGCCTATCATACTTTCAATAGTAAATGTAATATGTAAGAGCTGGTCTTATTATATATATGTAGCTTGCATTTCGAGAAACCTACCACAAAGTTCAGTTATGAAATACTATCTATATTCAGGTATAATGCTAAAATGAGTAAAATATGATGTATAAACGCGTAAGCCTAACAATAAACTGTATTAATTTTCAAAACATCTTTTTTCTTTTCTTGATTTCGAATGATGAAATAACCGGAGCCGAAAGGGTTGGAACAATGACAGGATAACTGGAAAGTTTTATGTGTTATTTAAAGAATAGTCCGTGCGTGGAAATCCCTCCCGCATATCACATGACAATGACACGTCTAAAAATACCAAGGGCAGGGGAGACAACTCGCATTTGTTTACATCGTAGAAAGAGCTTCCGGATACATTTCATGAATTACCGACGTTAAATAGCCCTGTATTGCAATGGAGGATTGTGACTATCTCTACAAAATCATCCTGATTGGAGACATCAATGTGGGTAAGACGAGTATTGTAAAACGGTTCAGGGATGGCACGTTTGATGACAACTACAGGACAACAATAGGTGTTGACTTCGCCATCAGGACACTAGATATAGACAACAAACAAGTTAAGGTAAAGACTTATCACCATAATGTGTGTTCATCTATAAAGATTTCGTGAATTCATTACATTTACATACATACAGGACCGTAGTGTGTGGAAAATGTTGGGAAACATACTCGTCACAGTCAGTTACGTCATATACAGTGCAGTGCCTTGTCCATGTATTATCGTCAATTACGCTGTACAATTATAAACATGGTAAATAGAATTAATATACAACTACCGGAGAAGGTTAGTTTGACATTAGGGTAAACACACATTTTCTCTAAAGGATAAGAAGGCAAGCTTCTCTGTTTTATTCAAACCGAAAGTACAGCCAAGCTCGAACATTCAGATTTATGAGAAGGTCGTTATACACGTTCATTGTCACTTACGTTTTCGTGGTTTACGTCATATCACTACAGTGAATCAAAGATACAAGTCATCTGGGGCTTCTAGACAAATTGTGTCATTCAGGCAAGGGAATTCTAAAATATACTTGTGAAACGTTCAGCATCGCCGTTATCAGATACAGCTTGTAAACACTTAATCATACTTCGCTGATATTTCCTTTCCCCCTGTTCCACCAAATAGTACCGACTTTTCGTCCAAGTATGTTGATGACTGGATTTTTGTGTTCTCCCAATTTGTAACATGTTCATTTAAATTTCCCACAAAAACGCCCTCACATACACATGTATATGTATGAAACAGCCAAGTAATGCATTTTTACTATTTTTTTCTACCAGATGCAGATTTGGGATACGTCCGGTCAGGAGAGGTTCCGATCGATAACCACAAGTTACTTCCGAAATGCTCACGGGATCATTGTAGTGTATGACATCACGAACAAAACGTCGCTGGAGGTTGCTGAACGATGGCTTATTGACGTGAAGAGGGTGTGTGGCGACACTCCCGTGAACTTACTAGTTGGTAGGTGTTCTCTTGAACCATGTAAATTAGAGACAGGTGTTACAAGCATCACTTACGAGTTAATTTGTACAATCAAAAGTGGCTTATAATAAAAACCAAATTAAGTATCACTAGCATATTAGACTAATGCATATATATATAACCTGTATAGAAACAAAATACCAGCAATATAAACCTAATACCTACAATATAAATACCTACAATATAATACCTACAATATAAACCTAATACCTACAATATCAATACCTACAATATAAACCTAATACCTACAATATAAATACCTACAATATAAACCAAATACCTACAATATAAATACCTACAATATAAATACCTACAATATAAACCTAATACCTACAATATAAACCTAATACCTACAATATAAATACCTACAATATATATACATACAATACAAATACCTACAATACAAACACCTACAATATAAACCTAATACCTACAATATAAATACTTACAATATAAACACCTACAATATAAATACCTACAATATAAATACTTACAATATAAATACCTACAATATAAATACCTACAATACAAACACCTACAATATAAATACCTACAATATAAATATCTACAATATAAATACCTACAATATAAATACACAATATATATACATACAATACAAATACCTACAATATAAATATCTACAATATAAATACCAAAAATATAAACCTAATACCTTCAATATAAATACCTACAATATAAACCAAATACCTACAATATAAATACCTACAATATAAATACCTACAATACCTACAATACAAATAATACAATATAAATACCTACAATATAAATACCTACAATATAAATACCTACAATATAAATACCTACAAATACCTACAATATAAATACCTACAATATAAACCAAATACCTACAATATAAATACCTACAATATAAATACCTACAATATAAACCAAATACCTACAATATAAATACCTACAATATAAACCAAATACCTACAATATAAATACCTACAATATAAATACCTACAATATAAATACCTAAAATACCTACAATATAAATACCTACAATATAAATACCCACAATATAAACATAATACCTACAATACAAACACCTACAATATAAATACCTACAATATAAATACCTACAATATAAATACCTACAATATAGATACCTACAATATAAATACCTACAATATATATACATACAATACAAATACCTACAATATAAATACCTACAATATAAACCTAATACCTACAATACAAACACCTACAATACAAATACCTACAATATAAATACCTACAATACAAACACCTACAATACAAATACCTACAATACAAATACCTACAATATACAATATAAATACCTACAATATAAATACCTACAATATAAATAATACCTAATATAAATACCTACAATATAAACCTAATACCTACAATATAAATACCTACAATATAAACCTTATACCTACAATATAAATACCTACAATACAAATACCTACAATATAAATACCTACAATATAAATACCTACAATATAAATACCCAGAATATAAACATAATACCTACAATACAAATACCTACAATACAAACACCTACAATATAAATACCTACAATATAAACCTTATACCTACAATACAAATACCTACAATATAAATACCTACAATATAAACCTAATACCTACAATACAAACACCTACAATACAAATACCTACAATATAAATACCTACAATACAAACACCTACAATACAAATACCTACAATACAAATACCTACAATATAAATACCTACAATATAAATACCTACAATATAAATACCCAGAATATAAACATAATACCTACAATACAAACACCTACAATACAAACACCTACAATATAAATACCTACAATATAAACCTTATACCTACAATACAAATACCTACAATATAAATACCTACAATATAAATACCTACAATATAAATACCCAGAATATAAACATAATACCTACAATACAAACACCTACAATACAAACACCTACAATATAAATACCTACAATATAAACCTTATACCTACAATACAAATACCTACAATATAAATACCTACAATACAAATACCTACAATATAAATACCTACAATATAAATATCTACAATACAAATACCTACAATATATATACCTACAATATAAATACCAACAATATAAATACCTACAATATAAATACCTACAATATATATACATACAATACTAATACCTACAATATAAATACCTACAATATATATATCAACAATATAATTACCAAAAATATATACCTAATACCAACAATACTAATACCTACAATATAAACCTAATATCTACAATATAAACCTTATACCTACAATATAAATACCTACAATATAATACCTACAATATAAATACCTACAATATTAATACTTACAATATAAATACCTACAATATTAATACCTACAATATAAATACCTACAATATATATACATACAATATAATACCTACAATATAAATACCTACAATATTAATACCTACAATATAAATACCTACAATATTAATACCTTCAATATAAATACCTACAATATAAATATTTATGATATAAATACATAAAATATAAATACCTACAATATAATACCTACAATATAAATACCTACAATATTAATACCACAATATTAATACCTACAATATTAATACCTACAATATAAATACCTACAATATAATACCTACAATATAAATACCTACAATATTAATACCTACAATATTAATACCTACAATATAAATACCTACAATATAAATATTTATGATATAAATACATAAAATATAAATATCTACAATATATATACATTGATATTGATCATTCATTTCAAATATAGTTACACACTATCTAAATATATATACTATTACCGTTTGTTAGGCACACATTATCACTGGCGAGTCCTAGAACAATAAAACAGCTTTATGTTGCTTTTTAACTCATTTGGATCTACTTTATCCAGGTCTATCTTTGTATTTTAAAGATGTTACTCACTTGTGTGTCTTTTGTACAATCTTAGAAACCTGTTAGACACTGTCGGTATATTTGCATGTCACTTTTTATTTTACTGAGATAATGTTGCAGTTTAGATTATACATATTTTCTGAAATTATAACTATTTTGAAATTACTACAAATGCATTAACTATTAAGGGATACAGTACACCCCTCACAGATTTTCATCAGTCGTCTTTTACATGTAAGTTTCAAAATGTAGGCCCTTATCACATCTGATGAGTCCAAGAACGACCAAACAAATGTATGACATTATTTAGGTCTACTGTAATAATTACGATAAGTTTTTTGACGTGTTGTTTAGGTATTGTGAGAGGAGTTCTACCGGACATTCAGGAAGCAATGGCAGCCGTATTTATCTCATATACTGTCACATATCACATTTTCGTGATTTTCGTGATTTTCGTGGCTTTTGCATTCGTACAGTAAAGTACAATTTTTATCTGTTTTTTTGTTGTTGTAATTTTAAGGTTATGCGTAATACATTACGTCTGTTGTTCCTTTATCGTTATATTTTTCAAATATTGCAGGTAACAAATCAGACCTTACAGACAGAAGACAGGTGACAATACAAGATAGCCAAACGTTTGCTACAAAACATGGAATGATTGGACCAATAGAAACAAGCGCGAAGACATCCGCCAATATCAACCAAGCGTTTTACAGTATAGCACAGGTATGCTGATACTTAAACATCAACATGACGTTGTTAAGTTATGGCACAGGTACGCTGGTACTTAAACATCAACATGAGGTTGTTTAGTTATGGCACAGGTGTGCTGATACTTAATCATCAACATGACGTTGTTAAGTTATGGCACAGGTGTGCTGGTACTTAAACATCAACATGACGTTGTTTAATTATGGCACAGGTACGCTGGTACTTAAACATCAACATGACGTTGTTTAGTAATGGCACAGGTACGCTCGTACTTAAACATCAACATGACGTTGTTAAGTTATGGCACAGGTACGCTGGTACTTAAACATCAACATGACGTTGTTTAATTATGGCACAGGTACGCTGGTACTTAAACATCAACATGACGTTGTTTAGTAATGGCACAGGTACGACGTTGTTTAATTATGGCACAGGTACGCTGGTACTTAAACATCAACATGACGTTGTTTAGTAATGGCACAGGTACGCTCGTACTTAAACATCAACATGACGTTGTTAAGTTATGGCACAGGTACGCTGGTACTTAAACATCAACATGACGTTGTTAAGTTATGACACAGGTACGCTGGTACTTAAACATCAACATGACGTTGTTAAGTTATGACACAGGTACGCTGGTACTTAAACATCAACATGACGTTGTTAAGTTATGGCACAGGTACGCTGGTACTTAAGCATCAACATGACGTTGTTTAGTTATTTCACAGGTACGCTGGTACTTAAACATCAACATGACGTTGTTAAGTTATAGCACAGATACGCTGATACTGAACTATGACGTTGTTAAGTTACACACGTCTACTAACGCACAAACAAAAGGTTATTCTGCATGTAAAACACATATACAATGTATATATGTACATAAAAACATCGACACTATTTTGTCTAGTAACACACAATATACAACCGTAGCGTGAGAGTAAATGACAGTAGCTAGTTAATCTAAATGTACAAACATTAAAATGTTTATGCTTTATTTGCAGAAATTGGTAGAGGGGAATGGAGCTACTACCTTTGTAACATATAACCAGGAGGATAGTATATTACTCCACCGGACTCCACCCGAGTCCACGTGGTGGTCATGCTGTGGTTACACGTGATCTATCTGACCTTTCACCTTGATATTACTAATTTTGTCTAAGATATTCATGTAATAAGAAATCTAAACTTGTATTCAGACATACGGCAACAAAATACGGCATTTTAATCATAGAAATGTCTGTGATGTTTATGTTAAAGACACACTGTACATAATACATATAATTCAAGTTAACCACTTACAGTGCTTATCTACACAAGACTGTTGTATAATATGAGGGGGTCGGTAGGGTCGAGAATATTTTGATCAGGTAGAATCGGGGATATTTTGATCAGGTAGGATCGGGGATATTTTGTATTTTGATCAGGTAGGATCGGATCGGGAAGGGGGCGGGGGGGAGGGGGTAAAGGATCGGGGATAATTTGATCAGAGCGGATCGGGGATAATTTGATCAGAGCGGATCGGGGTGGGGGGGGGGGTGGTAAAGGATCGGGGATAATTTGATCAGAGAGAATCGGGGATATTTTGATGTGGTAAGATCGGGGATATTTTTGATCAGGTAAGATCGGGGATATTTTTATCAGGTAGGATTGGGAAGGGGGCGGGGGGAGGGGTAAAGGATCGGGGATAATTTGATCAGAGCGGATCGGGGATAATTTGATCAGAGCGGATCGGGGATATGTTGATCATGTAGGATCGGGAAGGGGGCGGGGGAGGAGGTAAAGGATCGGGGATATTTTGATAAGGTAAGATCGGGGATGGGGAGGGGGTTAGGATCGGGGATGTTTTGTTGAGATAGTATCGGGGATATTTTGATCAGGTAGAATCGGGGATATTTTGATCAGGTAGAATTGTGACATTTGAAGCTATAGATTTTAATTTTGTCATTGTTACAGAAGTTAAGAGTTATTGCGATCACCTGTCTAGTAGGAAATAAGATAAGGTTATTACAGAGAAGTAATTTATTATGATAAAACAGTTGATAGATTTTATTTCGGAATAAGATATCTTCATTTGATAGATTTAATTTCGGAATAAGATATCTTCATTTCTTATTATCCAGATTCATTCCTGGAATAGTTATGGTAACATAACCTTTTTAATTTGTTCTTTTAGATTCCAGTAAGTTTCATAAAATGTTGAAATATGATTGTGGTGACTGGTTTATGGTGTTTGTCCTGGAAAGTCGCAAAATACCATACGTTTTAACACATACCTGACATGAACATACAACGTGGAGACGACTGTTGTATGGAGACGGCTCTCATAAGCATGGTATTGCATTAGCTGTATTCTGTTGTGGATGTCCATTTATGCTTATACTGGAGAGTCCTAACGTTTTTGTACAAATTGGAAAGGACAGACTTAGATATGATTGATGCCAAATCCTATTTGAATTTTAATGTATAATTGAACCAGTATATACAGTTACCACGTGCTTAAAAGCCATGCAACACACAGAATGTCTTCGTTGATCTCGGGATCCTATTCTTACATCTGTATATATATATATCATGAAGTAAGCTGTAGATAGAATAATCATGTTTCACTGTATGGCATATTAGAATTGTGAATCCAAGAGGTTGTGTTATAAATCACAAACATTATCATATATTATTTATAGCGAGTTCGGGTTTCGGCGACAGCAACGGTACCATGTTACCTAATCACATCTGCTCCCACCTGATGGTGTTTCTAAGTTCGCTTGTACTTGTCAACGCCTATGTTTTTTTTTTCTAATTTTCAAAACGGTTATAGAAATCGATGGCACTGTGCCTATATATATCTTGGCTTTTCCCTTTTGACAAGATGGTCGCACGTGAAGAATAGCCTCTAATTAATTAATTGATTATTTTATGCTGGATTTAGAAAGTAGCACAAGTAAATTTTCTTTGTGAAGGAAAGGCAAATTTATTCTTTAGAATTTGTCAGCATCTACCGTCGTGTCAGTTAATAAAGTGCTCCTTATATAGAAATTGTGATGGCCACGATCTGTAGTATTAAATGACATATTGTTCGCAAGCTGGACAGAATACCCAGTAATATGATTGTTGAGACTCCAGAAATACCCGAACATAATCTGTTTTTTATTGATGTAATGCATAAGTGTTAGCAGAATATAATTCTTGCAATATGACAAATTGTACAATGTGATATGAAATATCTTGTTTTCTTTGTATATAAATCATGTTTATGTGATAAGCAGGAATGGTTTTAGGAGTTATTTGTAACTACGTTGCCAGGAGTCGCTGTTATTTGGTGACGTACTGGATGTCTAATTTAAGACGAAAGTGGTGATTTCTGTGATAATGTTTTAGCTTTGTGAATTGTCCTAATATATCAGCGCGCAATATAATGTTAACCGTCACAGCTCTGTCACTTATCACGACCATTTTGCATTTTGACGAGGAACTCTAGCCTGTTCCATGTCTGTAGTGATGACTATGTATACATAATAATCACACACTGAGTGTCTTTCATCTTTTATCAGGCTCTATGGTCAGCTTAAAAACAATGTAAATTAAACTCTTACATTCCGATTGATGGTTTTCTATTTTTTGTTCTACATTAATTGTAAATGTTAAGCCCTCACATTGCAATGCTTCATCACTTCTAGTGTCTGATAAGAAATTCGTTCTGATTTTCGATAATTTTCAGGATAAATTAAACAGCGAACTCTATGCACCTATGAAACAAGCATGTTCTTGATTTATTAGAGAAAGTAATAAAAGTGTTTATTTTAGATACAATTAGATGAAAAGATGGAATTGAAAAGAAATTTTAAAAAATCTGGCAAAATTAACGAATTGTGAATATCTTGTGTGCACGACCAATGCTTGTAAAATTGTTAAGGTCGTATATATCTATGTAACATGTATGTGCAGGTTGTATCTTACAGATGTCTCGTATGATGTATAAAATCACATATCATTGACAAGAACTCCCATTTAGAAGAGTTTAACATATCACATGATTAAGACAAGTTATCAATTCCTTATAAAGCCATATACGTAGAAAATAATGTTATTGTGAGCATTCAACATTTTGAATAGTTAAAACATATTTATGTAAATACGAATTATATATGACAATACGTACAGGTCGGACGTGTTCTATAATAACATTGTATAAAATGTGTTTATAATAGCTTGGATTTGTTGATATTATATAGTATGTTTCATGTAGTTTTGTCGTTTTGGTGTATTGGCAATCTGTACGACATTCTCACATCATTTACGTAGACTCATTATTATCAGAGATAGCAAGCTTAACACAGAAATTCAAGTTCATATAAATGTTAATGAATTTTCCATAGATGGCAATAAAACTGAGAAATATTTGCAAACATGTTTATCCTTACTTCCGTGATCGGCGAATGTGACTATGGCGTCGTCAACGAGATGTTCTCATTTGAGAACGTAACATTACTTACTTCCATTGACCAAGAAGTAAAAGGTGTTTACTCTTCCGAAACAGATGGTCTCATTGTTCATTAGGCTCTGTTTAGCTTTTTTTGGTTGATATTTGGCACCAGTTTATTGAAGTTATGCACAACACCAATAACCTTGTTTTCTAACAAACGGATTTACTATGAAATAAATCACATTATTCAACATCTGTTAACATTTCCTCAGGTTTTGTTTTTTTTCTGGCGTGATAACTTGATATTGAAGTTGTGTTACTCTCCTTTATATGCATTGTGTCTCTCTGAAGCATAGCTGACGTCCGTTGCAAAATGTTACCTTGATTTATAGTGCAAATGTTTTTTATAACTGAATGACTTGTTTTAAAGTTTTCTGATTGCATAATTGATGTTTATACTGTATGCAATTCATCTCGATGTAAATGTTTATCTTGTTCATATTTTGGTTTCTTTTTGTAATGAAGTTATCGACTCTTTGCTTAAAACTATACAGCTACTACACCACGAAGTTATCGACTCTTTGTTTGACACAATATGCTGGTGTGGTTTGACGCAAGAAACACAATATGTTGGTGTGGTTTGACGCTAGAGACACAATTTGTTGGTGTTGTTTGACGCTAGAGACACAATATGTTGGTGTTGTTTGACGCTAGAGACACAATATGTTGGTGTTGTTTGACGCTAGAAACACAATATGTTGATGTGGTTTGACGCTAGAAACACAATATGATGGTGTGGTTTGACGCTAGATTCACAATATTTTGATGCAGTTTGACGCTAGAAACACAATATGTTGGTGTAGTTTGACGCTAGAGACACAATATGTTGGTGTGGTTTGACGCTAGAGACACAATATGTTGGTGTGGTTTGACGCTAGAAACACAATATGTTGATGTGGTTTGACGCTAGAAACACAATATAATGGTGTGGTTTGACGCTAGAGGCACAATATTTTGATGCAGTTTGACGCTAGAAACACAATATGTTGGTGTTGTTTGACGCTAGAGACACAATATGTTGGTGTTGTTTGACGCTAGAAACACAATATGTTGGTGTGGTTTGATGCTAGAAACATATTGATGACATCCTTTTTATAATGTGACAGAATGACTGCCAAATAACACCGCCTGACTGGTTGAAAGCTAGAGGTATTTTTTTTTAGAAAATTGGTGGACAGGCATTGTCTGATATCAGGAATATAGTGATAGGGTCTAGTTTCTTATCTCACAAAAACGGGCCCAAGGGGGAATTTCTGATTGACTGAAAATGACATATTGTCCGCTTATGTTGAAAACCGGTATATATGTGATTCCTTAATTCAACACAATGTACATAAATAACGACTGCAGGGGTGTTTTGAAGATGTATATAACGGTTCCCGCTGCAATTAGCACTCGTTTGCTTTTGGTATTTTGTGTATTTCTTAATTTCAATATCCGCAAAAACATCGCTACATCATGACTGCAGCATGTATCAAACGTCTTTGAACCTCTCAAGTAAAACAAAAAGTTTTTTCAACGCGTCAAGTTATACAGTCAGGTTCTTGTTTGAATATTACTGAATAGGTTGTAATATTGATTGTCTTAACGCATGACCTATCGATTTGAACGGTATTACAGAAAGTTGGTCACGATTGATGATCTTAATTAAGATAAGGCTTCAGTCAATTCCTTCTAGCGTAATGAAGCAGCAAATCATTAAAGTAGAATCAAAACGAACTATTGCGTAATTATGAGCATCTACCTTAAAAAAATTATGAATTTTTGAACACATAAA